GCGGACAAAAGGAAGCTGATGGATGAGCTCCTGGCTGAGATCAATAATTATGGTGCTGTAAGAAGCGATCGTAAGAGTCTGGCTCATTACGCCACCTCAATATCCGTATTTGTGAGTGATATTGAGGACAATGGATGTCATGTTCAAGAAGCCTCTGAAGTGCCATTCTTCATGTCCAGACTCTTGTCGAAACTTGAACCGAAAGATAATGCAGACTTCGGCAGGGAGATGCAATGTGAAAAGAAAGAAGAAAATGTCACCAATTTAGTTACTTGGCTCCACCACGAGGCAACGCTCCGATCTAGGGGCAAGAGAGAAACAGAAGCTGAAAGGGGGCGAGATCCACCTTACCGTAGGAAGACGGATCAAAATTTCAATGATGCCAGTATGACCGATGACGAATCATGTCCCCTCGGCTGTAAATCAAAGCATCTTCTTGCTTCCTGCCTTGTATATCAAGGATCACATCTCAAGCAAAGATAGGAGATCGTGAGGCAGAATAGAAGATATCGGAAATTCCTAAGAGTGTCACATCACACGAACGACTGCAAAAAGGCTGACGGTACATCTTGCAATAAATGTAAGAAGAACCATCACCGTTCCCTGCACAATGAGAAGAACAACGAACCCTTGCAGTCCGCTTTGAGTCCCGACGCACCGATCTTCAGAAGCCAAGGTACTCCACCTGTAGTTGAGAACCGCAGCCTGCAAGGAAGGGATAACGAGGAGACCAGGGAAGTAAAAAACGCTCTCGGTATTTGTCCGGTGCAAAAGGTCAAGGTTAGAGACAGCGATGAAAACCTTAACGACATACTCGCGATGTTAGACACTGGCTCAAACACGAGTCTTCTATCCAAAAGGGCTGCGAAACAACTGGGGTTATCTGGTCCTCAAACGCACCTAACTATGAACTTAGCTGGAGGACAAAAGAAAGCGGAAGTTTCCGAGATGATAGATGTTGAGATCGCATCACCCACCGATGAAGATATTCTGAAGAATCTTCAAGTACACACAGTTCGAAAGCCTTGTAGCAACGCCAAGAATGTATCACGAAAATCAATTGAAAGCTATCCTCACCTCAAGTCAATAGCAGATAAGTTACATCTCTCCGGTGGTACGGTCGACCTACTCATTGGTACTGACTTTGTCGACGCCTTTGTTGACATCCACACAGCCAGCGGCTTTCCCGGAGAACCTGTTGCTAAGAGGAATTGTTTTGGCTGGTATGTTTTGGGCCAAGTAGATCCAGATTCAAAAGACATGCCTGAAATCAAATCAGTAGACGTCGCAACTGTGAATGCTGTAGAAGACATCAAGAAACTCGTTCATCAAGACTTCTTAGG